GTGTCCACCGCAGAGCAGGACAACTCAGTCCAACCCCCTCGGAACTCTCTGATGTGTCAGACGGATGAGAAAGAAGACGCACGACAGGAGCAAAGGAGGGCAGATGTTACGAACGGAAAAGCAGCTGTGGTGATGGGAGGTGGGTGCTAGTACTGATCAGCCATCAGGGGAAATCCTCACCCTTCCCACCCCAGAAGTCCCACAGGGTCAGGTGCTGTTACACAGACCTGTTCTTTTTTTTATTGCCGTATTCTATGGTCTTGAGAGTCCCTTGGACTGCAAGGAGATCCAACCAGTCCATCCTAAAGGAAATCAGTCCTGAATATTCATTGGAAGGACTGATGCTGAAGCTGAAACTCCAATCCTTGGGCCACCTGATGCAAAGAACTCACTCATTGAAAAGGATCCTGATGCTGGGAAAGATTGAAGGCGGGAGGAGAAGGGGACGACAGAGGATAAGATGGTTGGATGACATCACCGACTCAATGGACATGAGTTTGAGTAAACTCTGGGAGTTGGTGATGGACCGGGAGGCCTGGTGTGCTGCAGTCCATGGGGTTGCAAAGAGTTGGACATGACTGAGCGACTGGACTGAACTGAACTGAGTTGATGGCATATGGGATCTTAGTTCCCGGCCAGGGATGGGGCCCATGACCCCTGCAGTGCGAGCGCATAGTCTTACCTACTAGACAACTGGGGAATTCCCAGGGCTATTCTTTTATTTAAAGAGAGGAACTTCCCTGGTGGTCCAGTGGTTAAGAATCTGCCTGCCAATGCAGGGGATGCAGGTTCGATCCTTGGTCCAGGAGGATACCACATGGTGCAGGGTAACTAAACCCATGCATCCAGAGCCCCGTCCTCTGCAACAAGAGAAGCCATGGGCAACGCAGAGAAGAGGAGCCTCTGCTCACGGCAACTAGAGAAAAGCCCAGGTGTCATTAGTGAAGACCCACCGCAGCCAAAAATAAATATTTTTTTTTTTAAAGAGAAGTTAACACATACTTGTTGAAAAACTTAAAAAACTGTCCTTTGCACTTCTTTCCACTTTTTAACATACTTACAGATTTTTCCATATAGAAGGGGTGTCACCTGATTGGAAAGAGGGACTTAACCCAAGAGAGAGGAGCCGCCATCACCCACCCTGGAGGAGCAGAGCGGGGCGGTGGTGGGGGGACTCCACCTTCATGGCATCCTTTCACCCTGTTCCGTTTTGGTTCCACGTGAACTTGTTGCTCTGGAAATATGAGTCCCTCGAGATGGCAACTGCACCATACTTGACCTGTCTGAGTCTGTGCTTGTAGGAGGCGCTGGCCTGGAGTGTCGCCAGCTGAACACCAGCCTTGCTGCGAGTGTTCTCTCTGAGCCGAGAGCTGTGCTGAGAGCTTTACCTAAACTCATCTCACCCTCACCCCTCACGAGAAGCTGTTTGATGGGCGAGGACGCTGAGTCTCAAGGAGGTTACAGAACTGCCTGGAGGTCACGCTGCTCAAGGGAGGCAGACCTGATCCACACCCAGATCTGTCCAGACCCCAGAGCTCTCAGTCCTGTAGCCCAAGTCCCCTTCCACTGCTCAGCCTGCTTCCAGATGGCCTTCCAATATGGGGACATGACTTTAATTCTGTGGGATAACGCTGTGAGGCAGAACAGGGGATGTTAAGTCTGGACACGGTGACCTGAATGAAATGAGGAGGCCACCACAGTGAAGACGGTCCACATCAGCCCTCCCTGCACTCAGCCGTCCACTGCCTCACGGCAGGTGCGGGGGGATTGCAGCGGAGGCTGCGTATGCCTGCGGGGGTGGAAAGATGCGGGTGGTTACACGAGGGAGGGGGAGCCCAGAGCTGAAGGTTCCAGCCCTCGGATCCCCCATTTCCCTCATCTAGCCAGTGGTTCTAACAATAGTGTCCACCTCACAGGGGCAAATTTTGGAAGTAACCTGCTCAGTCAGGACAGACTTCAGTCAAAGCAAGGCCGGCCACATCCTGATGCCACGGCTCAGGCCATGGTTTCTAATAGGCACCTGCTGTCAGCCCAGCCCCAGGTCCAGTGATGAATCAGGTGCAAGCAATGAAGCTGGAGATGACTCAAGGCTGGGCCTCCAGGGTTGATGACAGACTGAGCAGAACTACTGTAGTAACTCCACAGAGAGGGCAAGGGGCGGATATGTTGGTAGGACAGTATCTGTGAGCAAAGGCATCTTGGGAGAAATTCCCTACAGAGGCAACAGGATGTGGTTTAGGCTGGGCTGGTTTTATGGAGATGAGATTTCAGGAGCTTGGAGGGCTGAGTATATTACGTGTAGGAGATTCCAGGAGGCAATTCCAAGACAAGTAGGATCAGCTGCCCAGCACTTCCTGCTCCTACAGAAGGGGAAGAAGACAGCCAGTGCCCTATTTAGGGATCTAAATATGGCAGTAATAGTCAAAGTTGCTCAGTTGTGTCTGATTCTTTGCGACCTCAAGGACTATACAGTCCATGGAATTCTCCAGGCCAGAATATTGGAAGGGGTAGCTGCTCCCTGCTCCAGGGGATCTTCCCCACCCAGGGATTGAACCCAGGTCTTCTGCATTGCAGGTGGACTCTTTACCAGCTGAGCCACAAGGGAAGCCCAAGAATACTGGAGAGTGGGTAGCCTATCCCTTCTCTATGGGGTCTTCCCAACCCAGGAATCGAACCAGGGTCTCCTGCATTGCAGGTGGACTCTTTACCAGCTGAGCTACTAGGGAAGCTCGGCAGTAATAGGGATATTAGTAATTAGGATATCAAACTCCCCAGACTCCAAAAATAAGCAGTCCACTCACTCTAGGGAATTGACTTGTTGGTATCAAACAGAAGGAGCCAAATCAGTACCTTAGAAGTCAGGGTCCTACTTCAGCATCTCTGCAGCACTGATGAGATAAGATTGTGGAGAGGCTGTTTTAAAACTGAATGCAGTGCTCACTTTGGCAGCACGTACACTAAAATTGGAAGGATACAGAGATTAGCATGGCCCCTGCACAAGGATGACCTACAAATTCGAGAAGTGTTCCTTAGTTTTTAGTGGGGAAAAAAAAAGGAAAACTGAATATATTTGTCCATATTCATTCATTCATTTCAGACCAATAGCTGTCAATTTAGCAGTTAGTCCTCTTCTCTTTTTCTCCTGAAAGGGCCTGGGCTCTCGTCACTACCCCAAAACTTCTCAAATTTCTTGAGGACTAAGGAAGCAGGGAAATAAATGAATGAAATAACACACATAAACAACATGTTTATCTGGCACTGCGTATGTTCTCATTGAATTTCAAGCAGGCACGTGGTGGTAGCAGTTGAGAATGCAGGCTCTGGAGCTGGGCTGTCTGTATCAGGCCACTTTTTGATGAGCGACCTTGGGCAGGTCACTATCACTGTCTGGCTCCACTTCTGACATCTGGGGCCAAGAATACCACCAAACCCATGGAGTTCTTGTGAGAAATTAGATGAATGAATCCATTTAGAAGCATCGTACAGTACCTTGCACATAACAGGCATTCAGAGAAGTTAGCTATTATTATGAAATTATTTTATCAATTTACTCATTAAGGAATGGAAAATTGCCATGCCTGTAGGCAGGACGCAGAAATGAGTGAACTGGGGGAGCTGGAGGGCCTGATCTAAAGGGGAGACTGACGTTAAGGGAAGCATGGAATCGGCGCTGTGATTTTCAGAATGTCCTCCAGTGGAATGTCACCCCAACTCCCAGCACAGCTCCTGAAAAGGTAAATACCTTTGACATTTTCTCTTCAAGCCCTTATGTATTCATTTATTTCTCAAAACCCTGCTTTTAGGGAGAGCGAAGCGTTGGCCAGATCTTAAGTTGTGAGGTTTGTTCTTTCTTTCTTAAGCCCACCTTACCTTTCTTTCAGGTCTCGCGTCCAGCACGTTTCTCCCTCGATCCCAGACCTCAGCGAAGGGCGTTGAAAGCTCAGGGCGCGCTAGTGCAAATCCGAAGTACTGCAAAGGTGGGATTTGGGGCGTCTGCATAGCGCGTAGGGGGCGAAGCGGGGTCTCCCTGGGGGACTCTTGACTCACCAGCAGGTGGCGGTCTGTCTGCAAGGCGTGCAAGGTTCATCCAGAAAACTTGAACGGAATGTTGATGCCACTGCCTGACAGAGGCACAGCCAAGTCTCCCCGAGCAGAGCCGTGGGCATCCGCGAAAAGGTGGGGGAGAGAACGGAGCGGACTTCCTTGCCGGCGTGACTCAAGGATTCAAACGCCAAGAGCTTCCTTCGGTAAACGCTTCAAGAGGGGTGAGTCCTGAGCAGCGCACAGAAAAGGGAGCGCCGACTTTCTCTTAGAGCATTGTCCTTGGCTTGTATTGACTGGCTTCCCGACCCCCACCCCGGGGCAAGACATTTCTTAGAAGGGAAGTGCCTGAGCGGATACAGGGAGCGTGGGAAAACCCGGGAGGCCGATGCCCGCGCGCCGGACGAGCTGCAGTGGGAGGAACGTGGGGTCCGTCCCGCCAGATGGCGCTGTCTGGCTTCCTTTCGGCCTCCCGCGCTCGTCCCTAGAGGGTCCCCCGTCGCAGCGGCCGCTCTAGCCGGGCGGACTCAGGGCTCTGTGGTTCCGGGCGGAAGTGAGGCGCCGAGCGGAACGGCCTCTGGTGACATTTTCTCCGGGCGGCGCGGACGAGTGAAGGGACTTGGTGGAGGAGGCTGCGGAGGCTGCGGAGGCGGCGGGGTTCGCTTTGGCCTCCCCTCCACCGCGGTTGGGGTCCTGATCGCAACCCTCTACCCGTCGCTGGAGCTTGCGCTGAGGAAAGAAGGCGACGGTGGGGCCGTCGCGTTCCGAGTCGCCGCGGCCCGGAGGGACCCGGCCAGGGGGGGGATCGGTGCGTGCCCCGACGGGGCGCGCGCGGAGCGGGCTACGAGGTGCGGGGCCGCTGAGCAACGCAGGTGAGGCGCGAAGTGGCAGGGCCGCGGCCCGGCTCCGGGTCGAGCCGTGGGACCCGGGCTGCTTGCCGGGGAAGCGGGGGGTCAGGTTCAGTGGGCCGGGGTGCGGGCCGCGGGCGAGGTTTCTGCGGCGTTTCGGGCGCCAGGGTCGTGACGGGCAGGGCTGTCGGGCACCGGGTCTTCGAGCCCGGAACACAGCGGGAGGCGCGGCCCGGGTGGCGGCCGCCTGGAGGGGCGAAAACAGCCCAACCCCTTAGCCGGTGACCCTCGCGTCCTCCGGGCCCGGCGGACTCGACGGGCCGAACCCTTCTCCCCGCTTCCCTGCCCCCGGTGGATTTCTTTCCCCGGCGGCTGGAGGTGTCGAAGCCCGTGGGCCGCGCGCGGGTGTTGGGGAGCGTCTTCGCGGCCCCGGAGTTGTCTTTCGCGCAACTTTCCGGGGCCCCGGGTGGCCGGGCGTAGCTGCCGCGGCGGCTTTGCCAACTCTGCTGGCCCCGCGAGCCGGGAATCTGGCGCCGACACCTGCTCGGACTCCGCTGAGAGCCCGGGCGGCCGCCCGAGCACCGCGGCTGCTAAGGCCTGGGAGGAGGGAGGAGGGCTCTCTCCGGCTTGGCGCCGCCTGCGTTTTCGGGCGCTTCCACTACCTTCTTCGGTCGGCAGACGCCCCTCTGGTCAATGGGAGGGATGTGTCAGTGTCCAAAATTGACCTCTTTCTGGCGAATTTGTCAACTGTTTAGAAAAACCCGGCGAGGATGTAACCTGACGAGCCTCAACTTGGTCATCATCATCTTTCTCTTTTCTTCAGTGGTACTTCGTACTTTGTGCTTTTGGTTTCTCGCCTGAGCTTCTGCTTTCTGAATCCTTCCACCCAGTAGGATGTAAAACCCACTGATGATGCTTTGTCAAGGTTGGGCCTTTTCATTACAAATACATCTGGCAGTTTTGCTTAGGCTCTTGTGTAGTGTCGTGTATTAACAGTTTGAAATTTCTCTCTCTCTTCTCCTGGGATATTTTAAGGAGGGAGGCTATTAACTTTCTAATGTGGTTTTGCTGATCCTGGCAATCTGGATCCCTTCAGTAAGAACATTGCCTTTTAACAAGCATTTTTAGAGGCATACAGTTGTTACCTGGTGTCCTGAGGAGTGACAGTGTTGATCTTTTTTAGTAGGAAGTGTAATATTTTTGTCAAATAGTCTGGGTAATAAAATACTTAGTTGAGTGTTTTATGCACAGTAAATATAAAATTAGGAATTAAATTTGAATTCAGGAAACTTAAGATGAAATTTACTGTGATGACCTATATGCTACTTTATGAAGAGCTTTAGTGAAACTTCATGCAGTTTCGTAAAATAAGAAATAAAGACATTTCTAAATCATATTCCTTCAGAGTGCTTTTCAGTACCACTGTAACCTTGAGATGTGAAACCATACCTTTTTGATAATGTTAACAAAGAGGTAAGCTTGAAAACATAAAATAGGAAAGGAGAAGCTTCAAGGTAATTACACCTGAAGTGTCAGCTAAATATGATTTCTTAATGGGAAAATTTTTTTTCTGACATCTTATTTATGAAAAATGGGATGGACTAGATTTTGGAACTGGAAACTTTCTCTATTGTTAGCTTCATATTAAGCTCACAATGTTACATTACTGACTAATTCAGTTTGTATTACTCTTAAATGCTTTTATGAAAGAGTGTCATAAATGCTCTTTCTTTTATAGTTTGCATGATTAAAGATAGATTTACCTTTAGATTTTAATTTAATGAGGTTCTGAGAGAACTGAGTGCTCAGTGTTTGTTCTTCAAAGGTTCTGTGTCGTATGTGACATTACCCTTAGTGTATGACTAGTAACTTGTAGGGGGCTGTGTAAGTTACTCATTATTCCAGGGGTGGTTTTGCTGGGATCTTCAGTCTTATGGTTTTATTTTGATGTGTGCGTGAATAGAGTTGACATATGAGCAGTTAGAATGTTTTCTTTCTTTTGAAAGTTTGGAAGTGATATATGAATGCGTACACAGACACACACACACGGCTTCCCTGGTGGCTCAAAGAATCCGCCTGCAATGCGAGAGACCTGGGTTTGATCGCTGGGTTGGGAAGATCCCTGGAGGAGGGCATGGCAACCCACTCCAGTATTCTTGCTTGGAAAATCCCCATGGACAGAGGAGCCTGAAGACTATAGTCCTGAGATCACCAAGAGTCCGACACCACTCGGCGACTAAGCGCGCACACACAAACATACACACACACTGGAGACCGAGACCCTAGGTTTGTAACTTTGATACATTGTCTTAGACCTTCCTGATCTTCTTGCAGGTAACTGGCACCATGGAAACAGTTTATATTCATATTGACTGAATTGGCAGTAATTGAGAAAATCTGTAAAAGGTGAAAAATGTGGTACTATTTATGTGTTTTCTTTTGAACTACACTGATTTCGGTATTCTGTATTATTTTTGTAAGGGCCAAATAAACTTTACTGTGTAAGTAAAAATGAAATAGACGTTGATAATTGAGTAAAAAGCTATGAGACTGTAGAAGAGGGGAAGAGCCACTGTGAAAAGAGAGACCAAACATTCAGGTGGAACTTCAGTCTTCAGCACTAACTTATTGATTGCTTACTGTGAGCCGGTAGTGCTCCAGTTGCTGCTGCTCTCTAGTGGTGAGTGTGACTGGCAGGCCTTGATGCTAAAGAAACTTAAAGTTTTTTTTTTTTTTTTCCTAAGCTTACACTGTTGTTCTCGGTGTTGCACCTTCTGTAAATTTGGTCCAGTGTGTAGTGATATGTATCCATCCTAATGGTATTACAGAGTATTTTCACTACCCTAAAAATGCTGTTTGTCCATCTCTCTATCCCACCCCGCCTCCAACAACGACTGGCAATCACTGATCTTCTTATTGTCACCACTGTTTCACATTTTCCATGATGTCATATAGTTGGAATCATACAGTATGTAGGCTTTTCAGATTGGCTTTTACTTAATAATACATATTTAAGCTTCCTCTGTGTCTTTTCATGGCATAATATTTAGGTTGGTGCAAAAGTAATTGTGGTTTTGCATTGTTGAACTTTGCTATTTGATAGTGGAATACATTCTTAATAAATGTGGTTATATTATACATCATTTAAAAAAATTTATTTGTTTATTTGACTGTGCCAGATCTGGTATGTATGTGTCGTCTGGTTCCCTGACCAGGGATTGAACCCCGGCCCCCTACAATGGGAGCTGGGGAGTCTTAGCCACTGGAACCACCAGGGAAGTCCTGTTACACATCATTTTAATGGGCATTTTTCACTTTGTTTTTTTGCTAATGACTTGTTACTTGCTATTTACTTTATATTTATTTTAGACCATGGAAATGATGTTAGACAAGCAAATTAGAGTGATTTGTTTATTCAAGTTCAAAATGGGTCGTATAGCAGCGGAGACAACTTGCAACATCAGCAGTGCATTTGGCCCAGGAGCTGCGGAGGGACGTACACTGCAGTGGTGGTTCAAGAAGTTTGCAAAGGAGCTGGGAGCCTTGAAGCTGAGGTGTGCGGTGGCCGCCATCCAAGGTTGACAGTGACCAACTGAGAGCAGTCTTCAAAGTTTATCCTCTTACAGCTACATGAGAAGTTGCCAAAGAACTCGGCATCAGCCATTCTGTGGTCATTCGGCATTTTAAGCAAATTGGAAAGGTGAAAAACCTCGATAAATGAGTGCCTCATCATCTGACTGAAAATAAAAAAATCGTCCTTTGGAAGTGTCACCTGCTCTTATGCTGTGCGACAGTTATGAACCATTTTTTGATCAGATTGTGGTGTGTGATGAAAAGTGGCTTTTATGTAACAACTGGCAACAGCCAGCTCAGTGGTTGGACTGAGAAGAAACTCCAAAGCATTTCCCAAAGCCCAATTTGCACCAAAAAAAGTCATGGTCACTGTTTGGTGCTCTGCTGCTGGTCTGATCCACTACAGCTCTCTCAGTCCTGGCCAAACCATTACATTTGAGAAGTATGCTCAGCAAATTGATGAGATGAACTGAAAACTGCACCTGCAGCCAGCACTGGTCAGCAGAATGGGCCCAGTTCTTCTTGACAACAGTGCCCGGCTGCATGTCACATAACCAGTGCTTCAAAAGTTGAATGAATTGGGCTACAAAGTTTTGCCTCATATGCCACATTCACCTGACCTCTTGCCAACCGATTACCAATTCTTCAGGCATCTAGACAACTTTTTGCAGGGAAAATGCTTCCACAACCACCAGGAGGCAGAAAATGCTTTCCAATAGTTAGTTGAATACTGAAACATGGATTTTTACACTGTAGGGACAAACTGATTTGTTGGCAAAAATGTGTTGATTGTAATAGTTCCAGTTGATTAATAAAAATGTGTATGAGCCTAGTTATAATAATTTAAAATTCTCTGTCTGAAACTGCAGTTACTTTTGTACAAACCTAATCATTTCTTTGTAGTGTTGAATACTATACCTTTGTCTGGATCTACCACCTGAAGGTTGGTAGGTTGAAGAAACTTGAGCATTTAAACTTGGAACTGGAAATAGATTTCCAGGTGGACATTCCAGGCTAGGGAACAGCCTAAGCAAAGTTGTGAGTATCAGTGATTTTGGATGGTGTGGCCAGTGCCTTGAGTTTACAGAGGGATAGATGTAAGCTCAGTGGGGGTATCAATCAAATTATCAAATTTTCAATCAAATTTGATAAGTTAATATTTTCCTTTAGTTGTCAAATTCCAGTGTTAAATGTGATTGGTGTCATGAAACTTTTCTCAATCCTTTTATCTTTAATTGAAACTATTTACCTTACTCTTCAGACAGGATTGAACTTAGGGAAGTAAACAGTGTTCTCTGCTTCTGTGTGAGCAGTTTCTTTCTCCAGAAGTGAGATTGATGTTAAGTCAGTTTTCACATACAGCTTACAGGTCCTTGTGGGAAAAGAAAGGAACAAGATGAAACTAAAATTACTTTGCTTGTTTTACTCTCTTGTATTTCTAAACTGCCAGGAGAGAGAATATGCATTATATATATTATACATATTTATTATAGCATTTTAATAGAAGTGAATAATAGTAAATGTGATTTTAAAATAATTTGCAATGTGTGATATTTATTCAACTGTGAATGTGATTTACAGTGTTGTGTTAATGTCTGTTGTACAGCAAAGTGATTCAGCTGTGTATAGGTATATATGTATATGTATATATATATATATATATACACACACACACATTCTTTTTATATTATTTTCCACAATGATTTATCACAGGATATCCAGTGTAGTCCCCTGTGCCGTCCAGCAGGACCCCATTGTTCATCCATTCCGTATATGCTAGCTTGTATTGCATAACCCCAGTCTCTCTCCATTCCCCCCCTTGTCTTGCTCCTGCCAACCACAAGTCTATTATCTGTTAATAGGGTTTAAGTTTTGTTTCTATTCTCTTTCATGTCTTTATTCAAAATAGATACCTCATAGCTCTTTGCTCAGATTCTGTCACGTGAAATAGCCAATAGATAGATGATGCAAGTCCTGAGTTACCATTTGACCTTATTTACTTTTAAAACTACTTGGATGAGTATTTTCTAGTTGTGCTGTGTGCTTAGTTGCTCACTTGTTTCAAACTCTTTGCAACCCCATTGACTGTAGCCCGCCAGGCTCCTCTGTCCATGGGGATTCTCCAGGCAAGAATACTGGAGTGGGTTGCCATGCCCTCCTCCAGGGGATCTTCCCAACCCTGGGATCGAACCCAGGTCTCCCACATTGCACGTGAAGATTAATCAAAAGTAGGAATCTGTCTGCAGAACTTAATTTGGGGATGGGGCAGTCATACCTGGTTAAACTAAAAACCCATTTTCTGAGCACTCAGGCACCAGGTGGAGATGGGCACAAAAATAAAAGAAATTTATGCTGAAGGAACTCAGATCTAGGGAACCAGATGATTTCTGCTCTTTCCTGCTCTAAAATGTGGAGAAGAAAGCCATGATCATGATGTAAAATAAAATAAAATGAAATAAAATGTGGAGAAGAAAAGTAGGCTGTAGGAGAAAAAAAGTATTGGATAACCAAACAACTAGTATATGGAGTTAGTCTTTTCATTTATAAAATAATTTTAAATCAGATATTGGAAAATGACTTTTTTTTCTTAAATGAGTCTTTAAGAGTAAAAGAAAATGATTGGAAACTTGAATGTTCTTTTTTGTACTGCCAGTTCGTGTACCAAATACTTTTTTCTCTGCCTGGACTTAAAGTCCATGTATTAGTAAATTTGTTTTGATTATTGTTCAAAGAGCAACAAAATTAAATGTTGAATCTTGTTTATTTACAGCAGCCATTCCCAAGAATGTGGATAAACTAGGATTGTGTTTAGGTAAGACAGAAATTCAAGTTTTCATTAGCATGGTTAACATTTGGGAAACCAGGTACTGACCAAAGGAATCAGTAGAAGTTATTTATTTTACTGAGTTGTCTGGCTTAAAAAAATAGCGTCTATGATAGTCCAGAGTCAACGTTTTGTTAGGTGTGTTATAATTAGAGAAAGGTATTGTTGAGGATAGGGAAGTTGGGTGTGGACTAAAATTCTAGGGAAACAAGATTGTTTTCCTTTCTGTACTAAGAACAAAAACCTCATGTGGTCAGGATTTTAAGCAGTATCCTGTCTGCCTTAGTTTTAACCTAGCATAGAGGCATAGTTTATTCTTAAATCAGCATTATATCATCAAGGGTTTCCCATTATCTATCTCTGCTATTTGCTATGAGCCTGAGGGCATGGTAGGTTTTGGCAATATTTTGGGGACCTCAGGTCCCAGCATGTGGTAACCCATCTTTATTTGTACCCTCTTCTGAGGGAGATAGAAAATGGCCAGAGCAGAAATCTTGGAGGAAATCTAGAACCTGTGCTTTTAAAATTATTCTTGATTTACACTAATAGTGCTTATGAGTACTTAGAAGGTCTGTCATTAGCACTGGTGCATTCTTTGCATTTGGTAACTTCCTTGGCTTCTTTCTTGTTGCTAGTTTATTCACAGCACTGGTGTTGGGCCAGATACATGTCAGTAGTGGTAGCATCTGCAACATGAAGTGATTTGAGCAGCCGTTATCACTCGTGGCCTATTTATAGAGCTTCTATCAGTGGAGAAGAGGTTCACTGGCAAGCAAGTAAAGCTGCTCTCTTCCCCTGGTTGCAATCTCATAATTTATTTTTCAGTTCTGAGTAGGCCAGATCCATTCAGCTGCATTAATTTTTAGTGTTCCTTTTCTGTACTCTAGCTGTTTTGCACTCTAGTGTGTTTTAGTCACCTTCACTTTTGAAGGAAAAAACCCAAATAACTTATCACACTGAAAAATAGTTAGCAGTACTTCCTTGATGGCATCTGCTATTCAATGTTCAGATTTCTCCTATCTCATAAGTGTGTTTTTACAGTTATTCAGATAGAGTCCAGTAGGTCTCTGCATTGTTTTGTAATCTATAGGTGTCACCCCTGCCCCCCCCCCCCCAATTTCTTTTTCCTGGCCAATTATTTGTTGAAAAAACAGGAGCCTTCCCACAGTTTGAATTTCCAGTTAACATTGCTGTAGTGGTATACCAGTCTCCCGTGTTTCTTGTTAATTGATATAGGTTTAAAGGTTGAGCAGATTTGGTTTCTGTAATATATTATCTCTTTTCTCATTTTTTCTATTTTTTCTTTGAGGGGGCAAAAATATTTTATAGGTGATGCTGCATACTTGCATCAGGAGACACTTAATGTTTGGTTCTCTGCAGTGTTAGCAGCTGATAATGCTCATTGTCCATTACTTACTCATAGTTCTTTACTCTGACTGCCTTTCGTCATTCCTAGTTCTGAGTCTTTTATACTGTCTTGCTTATAGTTATAGCCTCTTCAACCTTTTTCTTTTGAGAGCTGAGGGAAAGGAAGAGATGAGTTGCTGTGTAGAAAAGGGTTGTTCCCACTGTATTGTAATTCTGTAGATGTTTTTATTTCAATCTGATCTTTTTAAAATAAATGCATTTATTTACTTATCTTGGCTGTGCTCGGTCTTGGTTGCTGTGTGAGCTTTTCTGTAGTTGCAGCGAGCGGGATCGCCTCTCTAGTTGCAGCGCGCAGACTTCTCATGGCAGTGGCTTTTCTTGTTGCAGAGCATGGGCTCCAGGGCATGATGGCTTCAGTAGTTGCGACGTGTGGGCTCAGTAGTTGAGGTTACTGGGCTCTCGAGCACAGGCTCAACAGTTGTGACACATGGGCTTAGTTGCTGTGCAGCAGATGGGATCCTCCTGGATCAGAGATCGAACTTGTGTTTCCTTCGTTGGCAGATGGATTCTTTACCACTGAGCTGTGAGGGAACCCCAATCTCGAGTTTTGATTTCTGCACTGTCCACATTATCTGTGCTACAATTTCTCAGTGGAAAAGCTTACCCCAAATCCTGACAAATAATTGAAAGAAGTCCTTCGAAAACAAAGTTTATTTTGAGATATTGGTACTTAAGAATACTGTTGTCATTAGAGTATGTTAGTATTTATGTATATAAAATAGAAAAGAGATTAATTTTTCTATTTTAAATGATTTGAGAACATCACGGTTGTAGTAGAATGTCTTCTAAGAATCTCTGGAGAGAGGGGTTTTTATTTTGATTTTTAGTAAAATACTGTTTTTTACATTGTTTGCGTTATGTGGCTTAAGATGCTTAGTTTCATGGCGTCTGGTTTTGCATCCTTATAAATATGCAGTCACTTTATATAGTGTTCTCAATGTAAGGGAGCAGCTTTACCAGACTTTCAGCAGTTGTGTCTGTTTTGTCTATTTTATCTGGAAAGATAAAAGGGGAATTACTCCATCTATGTGATGGAATATATGTACATATATATGTATATATTAAACTTCTCTATTTTATTTTTAATTACTTTTTTGGCTGTGCCATGCAGCATGTGGAATCTTTACTGCCCTGACCAGGGATCAAACCCATGCCCCTTGCAGTGGAAGCATGGAGTCTTAACCACTGGACCACCCGGGAAGTCCATCTGATGGAATATGTTTTTATATACAAGTCACTAGTACTACTAAGCAAACACAGTATTTCATTAGTTGTCTTGGTGATATTTTTAAGTGATTCAGTTCATCAATTCAACCAGTATTTGTTAAACATTATGTTAGGAACTGTAGGGAATGGAAGGTGATTAACATAATCTCTGTTTTCAAAGAAGATTGTAATATAATGGGGCTGGGGAAGGTGAATAAAACCATTGATACAAATACATTGTATCTTTAATTGCTTTCATCATAATGTATTAATTTCTCATTTATAAGGTAAATACTTGATTTCTTGGGGTTAAATATTCTTGGTCATTACGTGTGTGTGGAGGGGGAGGTTGTTTTCTTTAAAATATTACCCTCTTACAGCAGTATATTTGTGTGCCACAGTCAGAAAAATCGGTTAATAATTGTTAGATGCTAATTTTTTTTGTATATTTGCTAGTATTGTGATTCTCTCCCACCATTAGATTTTCACAATATCTACTCTGATATCCAACT